GAGAGAGAGAGAGAGGCGGCGCCAGCGGAAGAGGAGTGGGCGATTTTGGAGGGAAAGATGGAGGAATGCCCATAAGTGTGGGAGCCAGTAGAGCTGAAACGGGCCGGGCTGGGCTGAACTCGGATCCGCCAGCAGGTCAACCTTTACAATGCAAATATAGTTTACATTCTTGAAATTATAAAGTCGCAGATTTGCTCCCAAAATCTAAACCACTCAGTTTCTTAGATTGTTTCGAGTCAGAATCCGGATTTAATAAGTTTGTTAGATCCAATATCCAGTTACCCCGATCTAATAAGTTTGTTGGATCCAAAAATTTCAGATCCTAGTGTTTTAACCATTACAGGATTCTATCACATTTTTTTGAAATATATATTATTAAGACATTATTAAAAAATTAATGCTCACATTTTCAAAATAATTCCTGCTTGAATCTTATTATATTTATATATAGGGTTACCGTCTATATGATTTTAGCGATAGACCTCTTAAGCCCTTATGGTCTACTCATGTTTAAAATAATTTATATATTTTCAAAAATATAACATATATATCCCTTCATCAAGTTTGTGTTAATAGACATTAAAATCTGTTTACTTGACATGCTTGCTGACTCACAATAAATCATTAATATAATATTACGTGTAATTTAGGATTAATGTCTATTTTAGCTCTTATGATTTTGATCGTGAATTTGTTCAGCCCTCATGGTTTACTCATATCTAAAATAACTTCTATATATTTAAAAACATAGCATATAAGCTATTCCCATTAAATTTGAGTTAACAAATATTAGAGTGTGATACACTGACTCATAATAAATCATTAATATAATGACACGTGTAATTTAAGTTTAAAAGAAAAACTGAGACCTCCATCAATAACGGGAGGAGGTATCGTCGTGGAAGCAATCACTAATAGCAATATCGAGTCGATGTTGCCTAGCAGGACGTCATATGTACGCAGTCTCTCCCGTGCTGAGGATAAGCTCTAGAGCTTTCATATGTCACTCATCAGCTCTAGGGTGAATGCCACCATGTTACCCACCATCGCGAACAACACCCGCTCTAATCTTGACGAGTACCATCATACCTTATAAGCCACCTTTCTCCCGAAGCACGATATCATGAAGACAAAGAGCAAGCAGAAAGAGCGATTGAGTTTGTTCATGTAGCCCTCTTGCATTTGTTTGCTCTCCTAACCAACTTGTCGAGGAAGAGGAAGCAATGAACGTCGTAGTGGCGGACAAAGGCAAAGAGGCAAAGGTAGGAGAGGCCAGACGACGTCTCATCCTGCCATTGATGCAGGTCTCAATTTTTTTTTAACTTAAATTATACGTATCCTTATATTAATGATTTATTATGAGTTAACATATCATATAAAGAAACTCTAATATCTGTTGACTTAGACTTAACGGGAGAAACTTATATGTTATGTCTTTAAAAATATAGAAATTATTTTAAACATGAATAAATTATAAGAATTTAATAGATCTGTGACCAAAACCACAAAGGTTAAAATAAACCTTAATCATAAATTATATATATTATTATATTAATGATTTATTAAGAGCCAACATACCACGTAAACAGATTCTAACGCTTATTAACTTGAACTTGATTTAAGAAACTTATTTACTATATTTTTTTAAATATAAAAATTATTTTAAATACGAGTAAACCATAAGACTTAAAAAATCCATAACCAAAATCACATGCATTAAAATAAAACTATATATATATATATATATATATATATATATATATATATATATATATATATCCAATCGAAAAGACACTACAGCTTATTATTATTTTTTTGAGGTGTTCTTATTTTCTTTGCACGTATAATCTCCTGAGATAGACATACACAGTGTTGCCAAGAGATTCTCAACAATTAGGTTTAGAAATCTTAGCCTTGCCAATGCCACGTAATGACATAATGAACACAGATGATTTGTGCCAAAGAATCATTTATGCTGTGAATTGCCGCCGCTCATAAGCACAATCAAAATACAAGTGTAGTTTACATGTGCATGTAATATTTATGGATCCCAAACTAGTAAATAGCCAATTGAACTATATAATATTTAGATTATACAGCACCTGAAACATATAAATTAACTCCACAAGGGAAATCCAAACGCAAAGGATAGATATGCCACACAAACCCAAGATAAAGAGACATCTGTTGAACATTATGATACAACCTACTGGGGCCTGATTGAACGAAAACAATTTGATTCTGCTCTTTGGTATCATGAATAGTCGTGCATTTGTTTTTGGCACAACAATTTGTATGTCTTGGTTATAAATCCAAGTCTGAAATTTCTGAACCCATCCTCCAAAAGATTAGAGATCAGAACAGATAAAAGTATCTCAAGTTATTGCCGCTAAGCCAATGGTGTCATCTTCTTCAATGTTAGGTCCAGAAGTTGCGGTTGAACTCCGTGATCTACCTGCAAAATGTAAATAACAAAATGGATTGTAATGAAGTCCACTATCCTCAAGAAAAACTTGCATGATCCAATTTCATTATTTGTACAGGAATCCGAATGTAGGAAAGAAATCAATTGTTACAAGCTGTTATGTTCCCATAACCTGGAAGTCATGGAAAGCATTTAGTGCCACCACAATTAAGCATCATTATAATTTCCATCTTATGTTTTGTTCAGCAGCAGATTATAATCTATACTCTTCAAAGTATGATGTATGATTGGCCTGATTGATCTGATAACACCCATATATGCCGTAACATAAACAGATTTAAGGTTGCAGCACCAAGATGGTTTGATTAAAGCATGCCTTGTTAGTTATTTCTTAGTCTGTTCATTCGTGTTACAGGCTATATCCGATTATCAGCAATTGTTATATCACTGGGTCAAAAGGGCCATATATTTCACATCAATTTGTTGCAACTACTGGCATGTTTTCCAACAAGATACAAGGTTAAAACAGGCATAAGGTGGAAAAGAAAATCCAGAGAGATATGTATGGTTGTAACAGACACCAAAACATCACAAAGAAATGCCACAAGAACCAAAAGAAACAAAAGTGAAAAGGTATGGAGTTTCTCACCTGTCACATTCGTTATGATGTTTGTGCTCTTAAGGGTAGCAAGGGCTCTTAATTTGTTTCCAGTAGCTAACAGAAGCAAGCTCTTAATAAGTTGTTTTTGTTCCTTAGGGCTACTTGTTTTAGCCAGAGCATCCTCAAAAGCGAGCAAATCATCTCTTGTAATAGAAGGGAGGGACAGCAGAACCTATAAACAAATTCACCTCATGATACCAATTGTATTTGGCATGAAAGTTTTGCTTCTTAAAATTATGACTCGACACTAAATCAAAAGGTTTTCAAATTTACCTGTCTAGGTGCAGGATCTCTATCTGCCAGATAGACATATATTTCACGACACAATCCGAGGATATCTGAGCTAGTTACAGCATTTGACTCAAGAGTTAGACCTTTAATTAAAGCAAGGAATAATTCCTTAGCAACAAATTCTCTAAGTTCCACAGTGTTTGTCATGATAGCAAGAAGAATAATAGCTCCGCAGAAAGGGATAGCTTTAGTCACAGCTTCACCATCTGTCCATGCAAAGACATCAATGCCTATTTTCAGCGCATGAAGAGCAAGACCTTTGTGCATCATGAGAAATCTGCAAAACCATGATTATCAGCTCTACAGAAATGCTAACACCAGAAAATCTATTGGGTGTTTTTCTAATGAACAAATTTGAGGCTGTGAGTCTTCCTGGGACTCTTACCCGACCATAGAATTTAAGACAAATGCATTCAATTCTTTAAGTGAGTCTACACGATTAGTAGGTCCAAGATGCTCCAAAGAAGGAAGTCCACTATTAAGAGGTGGTGAAGCTAGAACTGAGAGAAGAGAACACACTTCCCGAGTCAAGTCACGGAGCAACTTTTCTTCCATCACTTCCACCTTCAGCTCCAAACCAGAAAGATTGCCAAAGGTATCAGGAACCTTTGCCCTGCCGTCAAGTAGAAGACTGGACCATGAACAAGCAAGAGCTTGATGACAGTGGAGGAGTAATGGGTGTAAAATGCTCTCTAGCCAAACCTCCCATAAATTTGGCGGACAGAATTTGACCATAGGAATGATGACCAAGTGGATAAGTTGCCGCAGATGTCTAAATTCCATAGATTGGACATTCTCGACTAGAGCTAATGTAACAGAGTGACTCTCAATGCACCGAAAAAATGTATCTCCTGTGGTTGCTGATAGACCTATAACATTGTACCTGCAGTCACTCGAACAAATTGCTAATATTATAGGCATTACCTGCAAAATCTTTCAGGATTGCAAGACATAGCAGCAAACCCAAAGAGAACGAAAAGGAGTGTGCAGGAATTGAAAAGTGCTAATAACTCATGAAGCCCATCCCAAGGTGGAAGATAAACATAACATTGAAAGATATCATTTAACACTAAATTAGCAGATCACAGAGCCAAAACTGAAAAAGATGGATCCTCAAGACCCTAAAAGACAAATGCCAAGACTTTAAATGCTTCATGGAATTTAGAGCAGGAAATATCAGTATGGCCATAGAATCATACACTAAAAAAAGAAAACAAACATCATAAAAACTAAAAAGTTTGATAAACAATTGCAAAAGTGTACACTTCAATCCAAACAATTATCACAACAGCTCCAGCTGTAGCCTTTGCTTTAAACCCCATTTAAGTTAATATTTCCAAGTATAATAACTCACTTTATATTGCATGGAAATGATATTCCAATTTTAAAAGGCTTCTGTGTATGGTTTTTACAACACTAAAGGTCTCGAAAAAACAGATAATAAAAAGAGAATCATGAACTTTATCATCTTAGGTGCCAAGCATTTAATGGTACCAATTTAATTCAGCATACCAACTTATTCAGATACAATAGGTAGTTCCATACTTATCAGTTATTACCCAATAGCTATCACCTA